GAGCTGCCGTCTCCAGTTCAGACACGACAGGCTGGGTCTCAGGCTCGCCCTCTGGCCACAGCCCTGGGAAGGCTGGCGGGTGAGGAGGCTGTGCTGGGCTCCCAGCGTCCCCTTCCCCGCAGGCGGCGGGGGGACCCCACGGCGAGGCCCGCACCTTCCCCTCACGCTGCGGGTTGTGATTTGAGACCGTTGGCTGCTGGACAACCGATCTGCCGTGTTAACAGTTTTCATGACTTTAACCCAAGACGCTCCGTTTTTGCCACTTAAAGGAAGGAGTCACACGTGGCCAACTTCCAAGAAAGAAACAAAGTTGGGGCGTCTCTGCCGTGGGCGGCGTCAGGAGCCTGTGCCGCTCACCTGGGCCCATCGCCCGCGAGGTGTGACGTCTGGAAACAAGATCAACAGACGGCCAACAGGGACATCCTGTCGGAGCTCAGCCCTGGAGGCTCCGGAGCGGGGCCAGCCCGCAGGCCGGTGGAGCCGAGCCGGCGGCCGTCACCTGCACAGGAGCGCCCACCCAGGAGGCTGCCGCGTCCCCAGGAGGCCCCGCGAGGGAGGGGGGCCGCGAGTCGGAGCAGGAAGGGCTGGGCTCTGTCCTGGGGCCGATGGGGGTGAGAGACCCGGCTACCAAGTGGGGGAAGCAAGGATTAAAGACGATGGAGTCCAGCAGCGTTTGCAAGAGAAAGGACGCCTCGGAGGAGAGACCGCTCGCGGAGGGGACACCGACTGCTCAGAGCCCCGAGACTCTGCTTTCTTTAAATGTGGGCCTGACAGCGTTCCTCTCGGGAAAAGGCCTTTCTCAGGGTCTCGGGCCACACGCACCCCCAGGCCTCCCCACACGCCTGGGCCAGGGGGCTCTCCTCTGGGCGTCACGGCAAGAAGCGCGTCTAGTAACTTCCGAAGAGCAACACGTCGGAAACATTCGCATCAGGAGCTCAACCACTGAGAAACGTTCGAAGTCCATTGTGAAGTGCGTCCTGAGCCGCCCGGTCCCCTCCCGCCCCCGCCCCTCCCCATCGAGAAAGGTCCACGCATTCACTGCGGGAGGGGTGCCCCCGGGAGGTCTCGCCTGTGTGGGTGCGGGAGGCGGTGTGAGAGGACAGATGCCACGGCCCCGGGTCAGACGCTGCCGAGGCCTGGCTCAGCGTGAGCCGGCCAAGGCTCGCTCGCTCAGTGCCTGTGGGCGAAGCTTGGCTGGCTGTCGTTTTTATTTTCTCTGCTGTTATTTTTGGGGTGGAATCTCTCCCTGAGCCGAGGGCGATGGCAGTTGGAGGGATGTTGGCCGAGCTGTTCTGTTTCCGACATCTGGCTTCCTCGCTGGTGCCTGGACCCGAGAGGGCAGTGCACACGGCACGCGACCTTGAGGCCTCGATTCCCTCGTGGCCTCCCTGGCAAAGCATCCCTGGGGCGCAGCCAGCCCCAGCCAGATCCCACCCCACCCGGGGCTGGTGGCCGGGTGCTGCTCGGATGCAGGGAGGGGGTGGGGGGCTCCTCCTGTCTGTCTGGCTGCCAGGCCATGGCTCCCAGGACAGCGAGCAAGGCAGCGGTGGCTACAATGCCTCCTAATGTGTGTTGCACACTTAACACTCCCTCCCAAGCATGGCTGTCCCGTGAAAAACCCTCACGGGGGTGCGGGCAGGTCCTGCCTGGACAGGGCAACCGGCCGGAGGAACGGAGCTGGCCGAGGAGCTGCCCGGCCACAGGCACCAGCCCGGCATGTGGACCCTCTGCAAGGCAGGGGAGAGGGAGGTCGGGCAGCTGTGAACTTTATCCGTGCGTCTTCGGGAAGGGTGGTTGGTCGGAATGAGTGTAGCCGCTGGGTGGTCAGTTTAAGACCAACTCTGACTGCCTCACCTGCCACGTGCACGTTCAGTGTGAGGGGAATAGTGGTCCTTGTAGCCCTTTTATATCTCTTTTTCGCTTCGTTTGACCCCTGACCCTGTGGAAGGACACAGGAGGAGGGTCGCTTCTCGAGGACAGAGGACAGGTGTGATGACGAGCGCTTCACAACCTCCGACATCATCAGGGCCGTGTGATTGGCCATTAATAAGTTCTCCAGCCTGGAGGGTGGAACCAGCCCCCATGGGCAGTTAACCACGGAGCCTAGAGCCACGTCAGCCTGTGGCAGTGACGTGCACATGGTTTCCTGTGGGAGATGTCAAACTGTGTGAATCAGCAGTGTGGGGATGTCCACACATTGCACACGGCTGCACACAGCTGCACACAGCTATACACGGCTGCACTGGTCTGCACACAGCTGCACATGACTGCACACAGCTACACATGGCAGCACACGACTGCACTGAGCTGCACACAGCTACACATGGCTGCACTGGGCTGCACACAGCTATACACTGCTGCACATGGTTGCACTGAGCTGCACACAGCTACACACGGCTGAACACGGCTCCACTGAGCTACACACGGCTGCACACAGCTACACATGACTGCATACAGCTACACACGTCTGCACTGGGCTGTACATGGCTGCACTGGGCTGCACACAGCTGCACACAGCTACACACGGCTGCACTGAGCTGCACACGGCTGCACACAGCTACACACGGCTGCACTGGGCTGCACACAGCTACACACGGCTGCACTGAGCTGCACACAGCTGCACTGAGCTGCACACAGCTACACACGGCTGCACTGAGCTGCACACAGCTGCACTGAGCTGCACACAGCTACACACGGCTGCACTGGGCTGCACACAGCTGCACTGAGCTGCACACAGCTACACACGGCTGCACTGGGCTGCACACAGCTGCACTGAGCTGCATACAGCTACACACGGCTGCACTGGGCTGCACACAGCTACACTGAGCTGCACACGGCTGCACTGAGCTGCACACGGCTGCACTGAGCTGCACACAGCTACACACGTCTGCACTGGGCTGCACACAACTACACACGGCTGCACACGGTTGCACTAAGCTACACACAGCTACACATGGCTACACACGGCAGCACTGAGCTGCACATGTCTGCACAGTGCACACCAGAATCCCAGCCAAGGCTCACTTGGCCACACGCGGCCCCTTTACAGTAACAGTGCATCTGCTGTAGGAAAATCGTCTCCAATCCTTCAGCTCCGTGGGGGTTGGACCGGTTCTGACCAGGAAGGCCCACGCGGCTCGTGGCAGCTGCCTCCAGCCTCCAGGCCGATGTTTCACAGGGTTCTGTTGGCTTTTTATCTCCGGGAAAAGGAGCCTAGTAATCGGGGTGCGGGGGGGGGGGGGGAATGGGGGTGCTGGCAGCGGCAGAGTCGGGATGGGTTTTCCGTGGATCAAATGTCTTTCCTGTGGAGCCAGAGCTCTCGCACTCACATGTGTGGCCGAGTCCATGTGTGGGCACCTCCCCACGGCTCTGGACGGCAGTGCTCCTCACACAGAAACCAGAGTGGACGCCGGGGCCGGACCCTCCATCGAGTGGCCCCCGCCTGCCCACCATGGGAGGACGGAGCGGAAGACAGAGCAGGGCCAGGAAGCTCCTCCTGCTCAGCCGAGCCTGTCACCAAGGGCCCTTCGCTGACTCTCTCCTGGCGCCTCTTCCACCTCAGCCCTTCCTGTCACCGTCCGCGACGTGACAAAGGTCCTCGCAAAATCACCGGGACGCGCGCTGCGAATCTTTCCCACACACGGCCCAGCTCCCCCAGCCACGGCAGCACCTTCGCGTGGATGGCCACGCCGTGCAGTTTCACCGTGAGCGCAATGCGGGTCACGGGGCGGCAGGGAGCCTCCCCGATTCCCTCCGTGACCCGAGAGCTCCCGGCCGCACCTCCCGAACGTTGGCTTCTTTAGGGTCTTGGTCCGCCGGTTGTGAGGGCTGCGTCTCTCTCTCCGTGGATGCACTTCTGTTTCCTCCAGAACCAGCAATGGGCCACCCTCTCCCGCCCAGCAGCTCCGGACGCCCATGGGCCATGTGCCTGCATTAGAGTCTGTGCCCTTCTCAGTGCTGTCGTTTGAGGGACAGAAGTCTTGAATGTCATGAGCCCAGCTGACCTCTTTTCATTACTTTAACTAGAGGCCCGGTGCACGAAATTCGTGCACTGGGGGAGTGTGTGTCCCTCAGCCCAGCCTGCACCCTCTCCAATCTGGGACCCCTTGAGAGATATCTGACTGCCCATTTAGACCCAATCCCACCAGAATTGGGCCTAAACGGGCAGTCGGACATCCCTCTCACAATCCAGGACTACTGGCTCCCAACCGCTCGCCTGCCTGCCAACCTGATCACCCCTAAACCACTCCCCTGCCAGCCTGATCGATGCCTAATTGCCCCCCTGCAGGCCTGATCACCCCTAACTGCCCTCCCCTGCAGGCCTGGTCACCCCTAACTGCCCTCCCCTGCAGGCCTGGTCACCCCCAACTGCCCTCCCTTTCAGGCCTGGTCCCTCCCAACTGCCCTCCCCTGCCAGCCATCTTGTGGTGCCCATCTTTGACCACATGGGGGCAGCCATCTTGTGTGTTGGAGTGATGGTCAATTTGAATATTACTCTTTTATTAGATAGGATGTTGCCCCTGTCGCCCTAACAGCTGCTTCCTGGAGATCGTGAGCGCATTTCCATTTCTAGAAGGCGGTCGGATCCAACTGGACAAGGTGCCTGGAGACCACATTGCTTCCATATTTTATTTACTTAGTTCCTCCTTTTTCCAGCCGAGGAGTCACAGGGGAACTGCTGGTCTGAATGCGAACCACAGACGGAGTTAAGAACCAGAGGGTTGCCCTGGCCGGGGCTGCCCAGTGGCCAGAGCATTGGCCCCACTCCAAAGGGCCTCGGGTTCGATTCCCAATCAGGAGCACATACCTGGGCTGCAGGTTTGATCCCTGGCCCAGGTCAGGGTGCATGTGGGAGACAACCAATTGATGTGCCTCTTCCACACCGATGTTTCTCCCCACCCCCACCCCATTCCGCTCTAAAAATCAGGAGAAAAATGTCCTCCAGTGAGGATTAACCCCACCCCCCCGCCCCCCCCACACACACACACACAGTGCTGGAGACAGCTTGCGCGGGGGTGGAGGGGGGTCTGGGGGCAGAGAAATGGGGGCCCCCTCCCTCATCTAAGCAGCAGAAGTGGAAGCCGGCTGCCTCCAGGCTGGGCACCCCTTTCAAGGCTTGACTGGTGCAGCCCTTACCAAAACGCTGGAGCGAAGGCCCGGGTCTGAGTGGTCTCCCACCAGCATCAACACCGTGCCTGGTGCCCGCAGCCGCCAGGCCTGTGCGGTTCAGGGCCTCCCTGTCGTCATCCAGCTTCAGGGTTTGTACCAAGTTTTGCTTCTGAACCTGACGCTTTTCTCTCCGAAATCCCAGAGGCGGCTGCGTGGTGACTGTCGCGGCAGGAGCGGCCATGTCTGTGACGAGGAAAACGTGGATGAACGGGCGGTTTTGCTGAGAAGGCGCCTGCCAGGGCGACCCTCTACTTATGTCGCCCAGCACCACCCTCTGCTCACCCCACACAGGCCTGCAACGTCGTCCTCCTGGGACTCAGGAAGGCGTTTTACATCAAAATGGCTTTTCCCATTTTTCTTACTTTTCGCTAATCACTTCTCTCCGAAAACTCAGAAGAAGAAGCCCCACAACAGCATGAACGCGCCTCCTCCAGGATGAGAAACACATGCCGTTCATCCATCCCCACTTCCTGCGTCCAGGCAGCTCCTTCGAATCCCGTGCGAACACCGCGGAGACAGTTTCTAACCCGCCTCCCCCCGCGCTGCTTCTCGCTGATGTCACCTCTCGCTGATGTTCTCGTCCCTTTCCCACTGAACAGCCTGGCGCCGGCTCTGACGGTTCTGTCGGCATCGCCGGGCGGGTTCCAAGCGCTCGCTCTCGGGGCGATGACTTGAGATCCAAACATCTTCTCCTCCAAGCCCAGTCGCGGGTAAGGCACAGCCACCCTGTCCTTCGCACGCCACAGGCCTGAACGCCCCGTGCTCCTCTCCTCCCAGAAACGCCCCCTTTCCCTCCTTTTCTGTGTGAGCCAAGAACCCAGCGGGACCGGGAGCCTCGGGCACTGGACGGGAGGGGAGTCAGCACAGCATCAGCTCCCCCTGGACCGGGCGCCAGTCCCACCCTCGGGCCCACTCCCATGGGTCTCACAGGCTCCCCAAGGTGTCCACAAGCAGCAGAAGCCTCCCCCCTGCCCTGCCTCCACCTCAGAGCTCCTCCCACTGTGGAGGCCCAGCCCTCAGGGACCTTCCCTCCCAGCCCCACCTGCCGGATTCCCACCTGGGCCTCCCTCTGCCCCGGGGCCACCTGCAGGGCACAGCCCCCCCCCCCCCCCCCCGCAACTCCCCAGCTTCTCACCCAACAGCCAGTGAAACAATTACTCTCATTAGCACCAAATCAGCTGCAGCCCAGGCCTCCTGCCAGCGGTGCCCCCAGTGGGACCCCCTCCCCTGGCTCCCTGACCTCCCAGACCAGCAGAGGCGCCCCTGCGGGCCTTTCTCACTCACCAGCAGAGCTGGGGCCACAGGACTCCCTGGAGGACGGTCCCCTGACCTCCTGACTGAGAGGAGCTGCAGGACAGTGGCTGAGACCTGAGCTCGCCGCCCCCTCCCGCCCCAGCAGGTGTTGGCCTCCAGGGTCTGCGAGGCTCCGCCCTGGCCCACCCGCTGCAGGAGGCGGCTCCCTCCTGGGCGCCTGGATCTGGGCAATTTGTCTGCTACTGTCTTCACCTGGACTCGCAGAAGCCGGCCTGGTCGCAGCAGTTTTCTCTCGTTATCTGATTGTTATTCTTTTATCTCCTAGAATTTATGGCTGTGGAGCGGCGGCCAGATTTCTGGGATCTGTTTTTAATCACTTGGTTTTCTGTCAGGAGGTTAAAAATCTTCGTTCTCTTTAAATTTTTTTGTTTAGAATATGTTTTGCTGTAAGCATTCTGTATTCATTTTGGAGAATCTCCTTTCACTCACATGCACACACACACACACGGAAACACATGCTCACACATGCACACACGCGTGGGCACACACATGCATGTGCAAACACATGTGCGCACACAGACACGCACGCTCACAGAGTGCCGCCTCTGGGGTTGGTTCAGGCGGTGAGCGCAGAGCAGCCCCTGGGAGAAATCAGCTGGCTCGACCGCAGGAGGCCGACCCCCCCCCCCCCCCCCCCCCCCCCCCCCCTCCCCTCCCCCTCCCCTCCCCCCCCCCCCCCCCCCCCCCCCCCCCCCCCCCCCCCCCCCCCTCCCCCTCCCCTCCCCCCCTCCCCCTCCCCTCCCCCTCCCCCTCCCCTCCCCCCTCCCCCTCCCCCTCCCCCTCCTCGCTCCTCCCTCCGTCCCCTCTGCGCTTTGGTGTCATGCTGTCGGGCGGTTGGAATTCTAAACGTAGAGCATTTCTGTCTTCACTTGTTTGTTGTGACGCTGGCCACACAGGCTGCGCGGGGCCTGTAGCTCACGCCTCACGTATGATGCACGTGTTCTCATTTTAACGCAGGACCTGGGATTCCAGGTGCAAACCCTGAGTGCGGCGAGTCTAGGAAAAACTCAAGGCAATGGCAGAAGTGCCCCCGTGACCTTAGGGGGTCGTTTTCACTCACTCACTCACTCACGGCGATCACGCGAGTGAAAATCCAAGGGAGACGGGCAAACCTCAGGTCCCACAGACGCTGCTGAAGTAGAAACGGAAACGTGTGCCCGAGGTTCTCGACTAAACCGATTACACGCCCCGGGAACGGCTGTGACGCCGTAACAATCGTCCTGCAGCCGAGAGAAACGCTGAGAGACGGTGGCACCTGCCCTGGGCTGGTCCCGGCCACGCAGGCCCTTGAACACGAGTTTCAGCAGCAGCTGACGGACCCCCGTGTGTTTTCCACGGAACAGCCCCGCAACACCCCCCAACCCTCACCCTGACCCTGACCCTGACCCTCACCCTGACCCCTGACCCTCACCCCGACCCTCACCCTGACCCCTGACCCTCACCCTGACCCTGACCCTCACCCCGACCCTCACCCTGACCCCTGACCCTGACCCTGACCCTCACCCCGACCTTCACCCTGACCCCTGACCCTGACCCTGACCCTCACCCCGACCTTCACCCTGACCCCTGACCCTCACCCCGACCCTCACCCTGACCCTCACCCTGACCCTCACCCCGACCCTCACCCCCACCCTCACCCCGACCCTCACCCCTCACCCCAACCCTCACCCCGACCCTCACCCCGACCCTCACCCCAACCCTCACCCTGTCCCCTGACCCTCACCCCTGACCCTCACCCCAACCCTCACCCCGACCCTCACCCTCAGCCTGACCCTCACCCTGACCCCTGACCCTCACCCCTGACCCTCACCCCGACCCTCACCCTCACCCTGACCCTCACCCTCACCCCGACCCTCACCCCTCACCCCAACCCTCACCCCGACCCTCACCCTCACCCCCGACCCTCACCCCTCACCCTCACCCCTCACCCTAATCCCAACCCTCACCCTCACCCCTGACCCTCGCCCTCACCCCCAACCCTCACCCCGACCCTCGCTGCTTCTGACTTGGCTGCGAGGAAGGCTGCCAGGCACCCCTGGCCCCACCGAGTTGGGTGTAAAAATTGTCCCGATGCGTTTCCCGTGCGGTTGGCTGAGCGCTCGCTCCCGCGTGGGGCAGCCAGTGCACCTCCCCTGGCGCCTGTAGAACTTCCATCAAGTGGAAACGACTGTGGCCCCGGGGACGTTGAGCCAGAGAGGAGAGACGCTGCCGTGCGTGAGCCCCGCAGGCGGACGTCGGGAGGGCTGCCTCTCGACTGTGAAAACAGAAATGGATGCGTTTCCTTCTTCACATTGTGAGTGAAATGTCTCCCCTCGTGACCAAGCGACACGCAGGCCGTCGGCGCAGGCGCTGCTAATAAACACGGCAGGAGACGGCCTCGGTGCTCACCGCTCTCAGCTGGTCCACACCCTTCCTGAGCGCCACCTTCTCCATACGCGAGATGGCGCTTCCCCGGGATCGGACGGTGTCCGCTCTGTGGGAAGGGAAACAGGACGCACGGACCTGGGCCTCGGCCCGCGCCTCGCCCCCTGCGACGGCCCCGCCACGGCCCGCTCCTGCCCGAAGCTCGTGAGTGTCTCTCCGGCGAGAAGCCCCTGGAGCCCCGGTTCCCTCAGGAACCTCAACAGGACTCGGCGCACATGGGCCTGAAGCCGCCAGGGCTCACCTCACAGGCTCCCCCCGGGCCCGGCCGCGGACCCAGCACAGACCACACAGACGGACAGACACCAGACCCATCTCCCCGCCCCCACGGTGGACAGGCGTGCCCTGCAGGTGCCCACAGCCTTCTCGGACGACCCCGCCGGTCACAAGGCCGCCAGCAAACCCGAGGTCGAGGCCCACGCCTGGGGCACGGGGACCCGCAGAGATGAGACACAAGCAGCACACGCCTGACCTGCCATCTCACCAAGAAGGAGCCCAAAGGGAAACTGGAAAGGACCTTGAAACAAACAAAAAAGAACGTAAACACGACGTCAGGGGGAGGTCGGTGCCCACGGGGGCCGTGCTGCTCAGCGTGTCCTCCTTCCTTGTCCACCGGCCGTCGCCCTCTCACCGGAAGGACGCCCTTCACGCTCTGTCCTGCCTGAGCTCCCGGTCGCCTCGCGCTTCGGGGCCACGTAGGTGATGTGAGGGAGACGCGGGAACAAGCGCGGGTTCGCCGCTCTCAGCACCGACGTCCACGGGTGTCAAACAGCCGAGCGGGTGCAGGGGGGACGCCGGGCCAAGGGGTGAGCCAGGTCCCCAGGGCGTCATGGGGGTTCATCACGCTGTTCGGAATGGCGAGCGACTGAAAACTTACGGATGGTGTATTTCTGGAATTTTCCATTTCATTGTTTTGGAACTCGGTTGACCGAGAGGAGCTGAACCTGCAGGAAGTGGGCGGTAGGGAGGGCGCTGGGCCCCACGCTGCGAACAGCAACGGGACGTGACGCGGGAGACGCCAGCGGGAACACACACGAGCAGTCACTGGTAGTTTGGCCACGAGACCAAGTGGCACAAATGGTTTTTCGTGAGAAAGAAGGAAGGAAAGAGAAGAGGACGGAGGCAGAGGAGGCGGAGTTAATCCACACGAAGCCCTTGGAAGCCACGCCTGGTGGAGCCCCGTGACGCTGCCGTGTTGGTGAGCGCCAGGCAGTGGGTATGGGCACCTCATCGGTTCCATCCACTCACACCAACACGGGGTCGCTGCCGGGCCTTCCGAAGGCCCTGCCGACGAGGCTGGGCTGTGCCCGGAGCCTGGGCCCAGGAGGGCACCTGCCGTGTCTGCTTATCACACCACACGCCTCCTCCTCCACCGGACACACGTCACCTGCAGAACACGGATGAGAGCACCTTCCCCGGGAAAATACTCGGGCACCTTCTCCCCAAAG